ACTTCAGCGGCAACTTGAATCCTTCAAAAACAAAATATATTATGCAAATAATATCTGCATAAAGTTAAAGAGCGATGCCTTAAAGATGAAATTCAAGGGCAGCTTCCATACCAAAAGAGCAACTTTAAAAGCAACTCTAGCAACGTAAAGGCATTTATTTTTCCTTAAACCTTTCATAGAATGAGTCAGAGTAACTTATCCTGCAGGAGCGTCAGAAAGAGACCCAGTGTTTTAGCTCGATCGCGGCACTTTTGCAGACCTAGAGTCTTTGATTGCTGACCTGAGCGAACGTAATCAATCAGCCTGGAAACGTCGCTTTGAATTAAAATAAAAATGTTGAGCGTAAACTGGAGACCGCAGAGTTTATTTACTGCGCGGGTTAGCGTGCGGTTAGCGCGGTGTTAGCATGGTGTTGGTGCTGCAGCTGTCCGAGAGCCTGATGGATGACTGACAGCTGGGTGGATCGCAGAGACTCTCTCTCTCTCTCCCTTTCTGCCTTCAGTCATTTTTAGCCGCGCTTGTCCTCACAGGGAGGGGAGGGGGAGGTGTGCATGCCTGGGTGAGTCGCAGGGAAAACTGGAGGGGAGGGAGGAGGGTATGAATGTAATGTTTCCTACCAGCTGGAGGAGAAGGAGGTGATTTATAAACTATCAGTTATCAAGCTAAAGGAGCTCCCCTGTGATTGGTCTAAAGTGTCACATGACCCTGTGAAGTCAGGTAGCAGGTGAGGTCAGAGCAGGTTAAAAAGGGCAAAGCTGACATTAAGCTGTCTGATCTGTGTGTGTGTGTGTGTGTGTGTGTGTGTGTGTGTGTGTGTGTGTGTGTGTGTGTGTGTCAGTCCTCTCAGTGGTTCGAAAGGAGGATTGTGGGAGTGTGCGAGCGGATGATGAGGGGCGGTCGGTGGTCAGGGGGAGGAGGAGAGAGGCTTCATCACTCCGTTCGTCACCGTGGCATGACGCTGCTCCACCTGGCTGCTGCACAGGGATACACACACCTGATCCACACACTC